TGAGCACAAATATACTTAACAGGTATAATGTGATGGAATATTTTAGATAGAAATTTTCAGTTTTACAAGTCTCTAGTTGCCCATAAATAAAATAAGGTAATCCTAGTAGTTCTGGGTCTGTTCTATGAGTTTTTCAGTTTACAGGTAAGATAGACTGTGAGAAGTAGCAGATAAAGCTAAACTCGAGGCTAAAACCATTCTTATTTGTGTTCCTTTTACAAAAGCGCTACAGAGTCTTACAAATATGTATGTGTTTAGTTTCAGAATGGTTTCGGTTATTGCCATTCCTTGGGGTACTTGCTCTTCTTGGCTACCTTGCAGTTCGTCCATTCCTCCAGAAGAAAAAACAACAGAAGGATAGTTTGATCAACCTTAAAATACAAAAGGAAAATCCCAAAGTGGTGAATGAAATAAACATTGAGGACCTATGTCTCACCAAAGCAGCTTATTGTAGGTGTTGGCGTTCTAAGACGGTAAGATCCAATTACACATACGGTGAAATTATAGGTAGTATATCTTTAATATTTTTCAAAAACTTTATACTGTGAACAACTTTTATAAGAAAACATTGCAAAATTTACTTGATACATTTCAGTTTAAATTTAAATGAGAAGTTAGCTCAAATTTAGAGTTCTATAGAAACTGAAAACTTATTTTATTCCTTTTTAAACTTAAAGTCACTCAGATAGAATCAGCCAAAGACCTTTATTTAAGATTAAACAAAATAATGAATTATTGAGATTGTTTTATTTGCTACAGTATACTTGAGTCTGATTGGGTGTTTAATGTGTCTGTTAGTCAGGAAAGCTGTCTGATGAAGTTTTTTGGTGTTTTTAGTAAGGGATATGCTTCCTTTATGAGTGTTGTACAGCTGTTTCTACTTAAGGAATCCAGGTTAAAAAAATAACATTTGTAATTCTTTTTTCTTTTAGTTTCCTGCCTGTGATGGGTCCCATAATAAACACAATGAATTGACAGGAGATAACGTGGGTCCACTTATACTGAAGAAGAAAGAAGTGTAACAGTGGCCTTGGCTCCACTGTGTGCCCTAAAACCTTGCAGTGACATCTTCTCACTCGTTGTGCATAGAAAATCTTTGATGGTAGTTCTGATTACCAACCTGGTTGAATAATTATTTCTGCCAGTTATTTTCCTGCTACACTACTGCTTATATTTGATGCTTTGTCATGTTTCATTGTGACTTCAAGAATTGATGTTTCTTTCAACAATAAAATCATTACTTCTTATTTTGATTAATAGGGAATTTAAATTTTGGCAGTGGGTCCAAAATTTTTTTTTTTAATATTTCAACAGAATGCATTCTTTAAAAATCCTCCCTTATACTGCTAAGTATATTTTCCTATTGTTTCTGTTTTGCTCCTCTGTTTTACCACCTTTTGCCTATGGAACACAGTTCTATCCCAGTTTCAGAAAAGAAGTAAACTGGTTATAAAAAGTTCCAATGAGGAACAGTTTCTTGCATTTTAAAAGATTTATTATTTTATAAAAGGCATGCTCTGTGTGCGCGCACACACTGAAATGCCAAGAACACTCAACTAAACTTTCATGTGACAGTTTGAAGGTGAATTAGAAAATATATCTGAATACACACTAAAATGATAGTTTGGTAATCAAAATTAGGTTTTGTATTTTTTTTTTATAATAATCATAAAGAGCTAGGACAACAGGATACTAAGTCACTATTATAATCTAATGAATTGAATCTACATATTGAGAGAAAATTATTATTATTATTATTATTATTATTATTATTATTATTATTATTATTATTATTACTGGTTTTGTCTTTTTGAGGCAGGGTCTCCCTGTAGCCCCAGCTGGCCTGGAACTCTCTATGTAGACCACAGTGGCCTCCATCTCATAGAGACCCTCCTGCCTTTGCCTCCCCAGTGCTAGTAATCGATTAAAGGTGTGAGCTACCACACCTGGCCTTTTTTCTTTTGTTAGAACTAAGAACTCTTATTAAATATCTTTTGTTTTTGTTTCGTTGGTTTGGTGTTTTTGTTTTTTGTTTTTTTGACAGGGTCTCTCCTAGCCCCAGCCTACCTAGAACTCAGTATGTAGATCAGGCTGGCCTCTATCTCACAGAGATCATCTTGCCTCTACCTCCAGAGTGCTGGGAGAAAGGCATGTGCTACCATACCCGGCTTTTATTAAATATTTTTTACTTCACAAATACAGGAAAAAACATATGTACATACTGACTGTGACACTCAAAAGACTGCAAGGACTTAGAGCAACATAATCATGAGTCTGTAGTAGTGCTAAAGACAGTGACTCAGAAAAGAAGGGTTATTTTTACTTTCCACTTCTCTACCGAGTCACCTTTTTCTCAAGACCATGTGTATAGTTTAAAATTTTTTAAATCAGGAATTTGAATAAAATTGTCAAAACACAATTAAGCTTTGTAGACCTATATGATGAGACCGCTGAAGGACTGTCAAAAATAAAGATAGGCTGGAATGGGAATTGCAGGAAGCCTAAATAGAAATGGATTAGAAAGCAGCTGTGCAAGGACATGAACCACATAAATAGTGTTGACAAATTTTGCTTGAAACCTCTCATTTTTGTTTTCTGGCTGATAAGAGAAGTAATCCACTATGAAGGGTAGAATTCAGTTAAGTACCTGAGTTCTGCCATAAAGCCATGTGACCTCCAAGAGCAGGGAAAAGGCCAGACAATCACATTTGGGGAGACAAAGTTTTCAAGTAGACTCGGTTGGATGGGTAGTCTCTAGGGTTCCTTATTTATTTAATGAGCATACAGTAAGCTTGGCACCACATATGTAATATGTTCTGTTCTCTTGTTTTCTTTTAATATATCTCACTGTTTGGCCCTGGTAGGCCTAGAAATTGCTGTGTAGACCAGGCTGACTGAACTCACAGAGCTCCATCTGCTTCTGTCTCCCAAGAAGTGGGCTAAAAGGTGTGCACCACCACACACAGCCAGTTCTCTTTCTTTAGCTAGCATACCTAGCTGCTTCAGAAAGACTAGTGATGACAAGCCAAGGCTAAAAGCTGGAAAAGAAAGATGATTACAAGTTAACACATGAATTTAATCACACTAACACATTTTAAAGTCATATTAATTTGCATATTATGAAGTATGAATATTGTTACAACAAATAGATGAATTTAGAAAAGATTTATTTAAGGCCAGGCATGGTGGCTCATGCCTTTAATTCCAGCGCTTGGGAGCTAGAGGCAGGTGAATCCTTGTGAATTGAGTTTAAGGCCAGCCTGGTCTACATAGTGAGTTCCAGAACAGCTGGGGCTACAGGGAGACCCTGACTCAAAACGATGAAAAAAAAATTATGTGTATATATGTTTTCTTGCATGTGTATAAGTGTATTAAAGAAGAGGGCATCAGATCCCCTGAAACTGGAGTTACAAATGGTTTTTAGCTTCTATGTGGGTGCTTGGAGCCAAATCTGGGTCCTCTGCAAGAACAGCCGGTGCTCTTAACCACTAAGCCATCTCTCCAGCACCCCCAGAGGCCTTTTTTCCTAAGGGGACATAATTTTATTCAAGCCGAAGGTACTTTTTTTTTTATATGTTTGTTTTTGTGGTACTGTGGGCAGAATTGAGGGCCTCAAACATGTTAGGCAAGAGCTTTTTACCACTCAGTCACACCTTGTGTTGTTCTTAGTAGTGTAAACCATTGAAACAAAAGTCAAGAAAAATTTCAAAAGTTTACTAGAGAAATTTTGAAACATTTGTAATTTTTAGCTTATAATTAGGAATTTTAGTTTTATTCTGTGTTAAAATCTCATGTAATAGCTATCCTTAAGTCTATTAAAGGTAGAATCTACTCGGTTCATTATGCTTTATTTATCTCTGTGTGTGGGTGAGTGTGGAAGCTCGAACTTGATGTGGGGTGTCTTCCTCAGTTACTCTCCGAATCTGGAGCTCATCGACTGTGCTACACTGGCCAAGTGAGCCTGGGATCCTCCTGTCTCAGCCTCCCCAGCTCTGAGCTTGCAGTGTGGTGCTGGGGCTCTGAACTCGGGTCCTCATGCTTGTGTGGCAAGCATCTTACTGACTGAGCCATCTCCTAAGCCCCTGTTTTCTTTTTACATGAAGGTACAGGAGGCAGACACTTAGTCTTACTAGTAATAAAGAATAACTGAGCATTTATGTATACCAGCATTGCACTAAGTGTGTTACTAGGACTTTAAATTTGTTACATGTCAATGAGTTCTACTGTGTGATTTTTCCTTTCTCAGCTCCAACAGCAAGATTCTAGAAGTGTCTGGGTCTGGGGAAGTTTTACAAATTGTTAATTCTTCTTCCTACTTGTTGGTGGGGGAGAAATATAGCACCTCTTACCTCTTTGGCTCTGGGTATTTTTTCGGAGGCCTTTCATTCAATCCAATTAAGTGGCTTCACTGTCAGATTAACAAGTTATTTTTCATAGTTGGTCACAAGACTTTGGAAATAAATCCTCACCAAAAGTTTGGACACCCTTATCTGTAGTTTTTGTTTCTGTAAAACCATTTACTGCAAGTCACAATATGTTTTTAAACATGTTCTAGTTGTTTCCATACTTCAGGTAATTTATTAAAATTATAGAAGGTAAATTTATTGAAACTGTAGAGTCTAAAATGAAGTGATAAACTTCTAATTTCACTTAGAAAAGTGAAAGTTTATTCAAAAGATCAGTTTAGGGCACTGGAGAGATCAGTGGTTAAGAGCATTGGCTGCTCTTGCAGAGGACCGAGGTTCAATTCCCAGTACCCACATGGCAAATAACAACTGACCATAACACCATTTTCAGGGGATCCAATACCCTTTTCTCGCCTCCTCAGGGATCATACACATAGTGTACTTACATACATGCAGGCAAAACACATAAAATAAATTTTTAAAAATTTAAAGGTAATTGAAATACCTTTCAATTACCTTCAATTGAAATTGAAATTTATAGTACTCTAAAGATAAAATGGTTTTTACCCTCCACATTTTCCACTATTAAAACATATTAAAGAGTAGTTATTTTACCAGCTGTACACATTTTCCAGAAACCTAAGTCTAATAGCAAGCTGCATTTAAATAACACTTTTACATAGCATCAGTTGCCATCTGTAAATTTACAGAATTCTGTCATGTGCTCCTTAAAATATAGGCATTAAATAACCAAACACATGTGAATTAATACCATTTAGCTCTTAAAATGTCTGAGGATTCTAGAGCCTTTGAGAAACAGCCCTGTTGTTACTCATGACTGTTAGAGGGTTACCTCTCCTGCTTACTATAGCTACTCACACCTTACTCAGCAAATCACCACCCTTGCAAAATATCAGGTATCTAAGAGTGTTAGCAGGCTTGAGGTACTAATGACTCATATGTGTGGATAATTAAGTTGCTTGTAACAAGCACATTGCAACTCAGCTTTCAGTTTGGTGCCTCATGATGATTCATTGACATGCTTTTGTATTTTGTAACCTAATTTGTTAATAAGTTTATGGGAAGCCAATTAAGCTAGCTGCTGATCTGTATAATTTTTCCCCATAGTCTTTGATTAGAAATATGCTGTCAGACTGTCAGACTGTATTACTAAACAATTTTAAAACTTCACTGTCAGTAGGATTCTTTTTTTTTAAAAAAAAAAAAAAAAGGTGGATATATTAATACCTAACCAAACTAATTGACTAATTTCATTCCACTCATTTAGATTCATTCAGGGCTGTCTCACCAACATGAGAAGGCTGAAAATGTGTTACTGATGTTCATGCTATTCCAAAGTGAGTACCTGACCTCCCCATCTTCAGTCTACTCATTTTCCTTTTTTTTTTTTTTTCGTCTTTTTGAGACAGGGTCTCTCTGTAGCCCCAGCTATCTTGGAACTCACTATGTAGACCAGGCTGGCCTTGAACTCACAAAGATCCACCTGATCCACCTGCCTTTGCCTCCCAAGTGCTGGGACTACGGGCATGCCCACCATGCCCGGCCTCATTTTTCTTTTATAGCAGAGCCTATTAAATTTGGTTATCTGATTTCTACTCCTGACAAATCACCAGTACCAAGAATATTCTGCTAGGGGTAGGAAAATGATAAAATACGACAGCTGACAGAAGGAACAATGACCAAAAAGTATATTGAAATTAAAAATTTAAGGATTTAACTGAGATTTAACAGAGGGCCCTGGCGTGCCATAGTCACTGAGTGCATCACCATGATCAAATTATGCAAGTGATGTTTAGTGATAAATTCGAACCAAGTAGTGTGTGATGTTTGAGAAGGTAGGATTCATGTTATAGTCATTGATACCTGTGGCCACTTTAGTTAAAATTTAA